GTTAGATCGATTGTTCATTATATCGATTGTTCGTTAGATCATTCTTAGCAGACTCTCTCTATAACAATAATATCAACATATACATATATACTATATATATATATACATATTACATTGAAGTAACACGTATTTCAATGATTACAATTTTTACGTCGCTTTTATCATTTATTTTACAAATTTAATCCGCAGTTAAACTAATATTAAATTAGATCATCTCAAAAAGTTGTTTACTTTACTTTTTTTTTTCTTATTGCAAATTTTACATGCACAATATTTTTTTTATTCTCCAAATTAGTTAACTAAATTATATAGGAAAGATTATTAAATTAAATGAATCGTATAATAATATTCAATAAAATATTTCATTAATGTCGTGCACGTAAAATTTACTAACAATAAGAAAAAAAAAAAAGAGAAACTTTTGAGACGATCTAATAATTTAATATAATAAATTACGGAGCAGGGGTGGGACGGGGGGTGGGTATTATCGTAATTAGATTTATATCGTGGCGCCAATGTTTGTTCTTTCCTTACTCGCGTAGAACGATAGCGAATACTTTTTATTGACTTTACAGAACTTTATCGAGACTGTTACAAAGAAAGATAGATGAAAAAATAGAGAGGGAGAGAGAGAAAAAGATAAAAAAAAGAGAAAGAAAGATAGAGAAGGGGATACCGAAAAAGAAAAAGAAAATAAAATAAAAATGATACTAGAGAGAATGATACAATGAAAGAAAGAAATAGAAAATATGACCCCTTATCGAACGTTGTAAATGTTTCTCATATCTCGAATCGATTTTATTATTATTATTATATATATATATATATAAATAATATATAAATGTGTATAAAAAAAAAAAAACAAACAAAATGAAAGCCACGGTGCTGCTTTCCCACGAACGACCTCGATGGAAGATGACGAATCAAATATGTTAATGAGAAATGAATAGTAGGTGTGATTGTTAATAAAAGTATATGTATAGGAAAATGACCGAATAAGAAAGAGAGAAAGAAATGGAATGATTGATAAGATAGAAAGAGAATGAAAGGGATGATGTACTAGAGGCCGTCTCGATATTATTTTTCGACACGACTGTTTAGTATCTACGATAAAAAAAAAAACAAACAAACAAACGTTTTTATGTGAATATTGTAAGAAATATGTCGCAATTGCATCAGTCCGTAAAACATGTGTTGGATACATAGCTTAATGTAAAAGAAAATTATATTAAAAAATTAGATAAATACAAGAGTAAATTGAAAATGTAAATGAATTTTAATTGGACGTTGAAAATTTTTTAAAACAGAATGGGCCCCGTATCCTCACGTGACTGCAATGCCGTTGCGACGTGACTACGCATCCCGTCGCCTTTTTTATTCTCCAATTTCTACGTGTTTTAAACGCTAAGTATATAATTCAACAAGAAAACTAATAAATTATGACAGAAGGATAGAAAAAGTAAAAGTTTAAAAATAATTAAAATAATCAAAGAGCAGAGAGAGAGAGAGAGAAAAAGTGAGAAAAAAAAGTATCATCGTACATTACATGCATATAGTTTATCGTTATTATTACTATTATTATTATTATTATTATTATTATTATTATTATGATTATTATTATTATTATTATTATTATTAATATAAAATATTAAAATATAAAACAAAAAAAAGGAATAACGCAATACAATTTTCAATCGCGTGTATATATATTTAAGCGAATGATAATAATAATATCTTCGTGGTGATGTGCATATATTAAACAAATGTCGAAGGATGACACGTGCGCATGTGAGAGTGTGTGTGAGAGAGTAAGAGAGAGATTGATTCATTGTGAATGAAAGAAAAATGGAATAATTAATATGAAGGCAAGAATTATTGAAAAGATAAAGAAAGATGAATATAAAAAGTAAGAAGATTTAAATGTTACATTCATCGGGTCGTGTTTTTTCGCCTAGTTACTTGCGACGCTTAAATTGAGCTCATCTACGCGTGGGTGTGCAGAATAAAAAAAGAAAAGAATAGAAAAAAAATAAAAAAAGTAGGAATGACGGTCGATCCTAGATCATCGAGATTTTCGCGAAAAATTTAATTTAAAGGCAAAATAAAATATAAAAAATTCCATCGAAGTGAAAATCTCGAACACAACGATCGGATGGCTTTAAAAAAAAAAAGAAATTACGAAAGGATGGAAAGCGCAGAACGGGGCTATGAAGTAGGTTTAATCGAGTTTAAGCTTAAGAAAAAAAAAATGAATAAGCTATATTAAAATGAAAAGATAAAAAAAAAATGATATTTACAAAAAAAAAAAAGATAAAATAAAATAAAATAAAAACGAAAAAAGAGTTCATTGAAGTAAGTACTACATTGTTGCAAACTGCCATGCTGTGTGCCATTATAATAATGAGTCACGTTTGTCGTAAAGAAGTAAGAGAGAGAAAAAAAAAGTGTAGAAAAAGAAAAATATTATTCCCCCCAAAAAAAGGTGAAAAATGAAAAAGATGAAAAGTGAAGAGAAAAGGAAAACAAAAAAAGGAAAACACGAAAGAAAAGAACGATAAAAAAAATTATCGTTAAAAGAAAAATAAAATATAATAATAAAAATGTTTTGATGAAAATAATTGCGCGTGTTCTCGTCTGTCTGATTATATTACAAATAAATTAAAAATTATCGTTCTCTTTCAAACAAAAATTTACATCTCGCTTTAAAAAACGAATAACAAAATGAATTTTAGAAAAGAGAGATTGAGAGAGAGAGAGAGAGAGAGAGAGCGAGAGCAGAGAGAATAAAAATAATAATAATAATTAAATAAAATAAACAAAGGACAAACTATACACTCGCATACATATTAAAAATACATCATGTTGTCTTCGCTTGAAGAAAAAATAAGCAAGCGAGCAAACGAGCGAGCGTACGAATGGATGCGATAGGTTTATCTTCCTGTTGATTTGTAATTTGTCAATTTTTTTGAAAATTATGCATTTTTTAAATTATTTTTTATTGTTCGAATGAAAAATCTTTGGTGCTAAATGAAATGAAATTAAAAAAACAAACAAAAAGGAATGAAAGAAAGAAAGAGTGAACAAAATAAAATTAAATAAAATTAATAAATAAATAAATAAGAAAGTAAAATGGGATAATTAAATAATAAAAAAAAGTCGAAGTTTTCCATTCACGACTCGCTCGTTTTCGCCCGTGCGTCAAATAATTTTCCGTGTGCTCGCAACGCGCATTTAAAAATCATCATGTATGTATTTAAACTACAAATGTTTAAACGAAAAATAAAATAACAGTGAACACTCCGAGAGAAAGCCACTGTATATAATATAAGGAATAATAATAATAATAATAAATATGTATAAAAAAAATATGTTGTACGTTATAAAATAAGCGTGGGAAGAGGCGTAAGCGCACGGTTATGATTAACCGAGAAACATTTTTTTTCTGTTTTGTCTAACAAAGCGAAAAGAAAAATTACAAAACCAAAAAAAAAAACGAATCTTCGACCATTAATGCGGCGAATATCCTTCGCAAAATATTATGAGAAAGAATGAAGAGATTATTATTGCGAGATTTTCGTCCCTGTACACTCCAGAATAAAAATTAAAATAAAAAGTAATAATAATAATAATAATAATAATAATATTAATAATAATAATAATAATAATAATAATGATAATAAAACAGGACAGAAAAAAATGGTATTATCTTCAAACTATACGTGTATATATATGCACACATCATATTTTCATATAAATATATGTATATGTATGTATGTGTGCACGTATATATACGTGTATACATGAATGTATTGTTGAAAGAAGGAAATAAATTCTGATTAGTGCGCAGGAACGAATTTCTGTGAGTCGTGGACTTTCGTAAATTATATCGCGACGTCTTTTACGATAGAGATTATAATCTAATTTGTTAGTAGAGATAGAAAAAAAAAAAGCATGAGAGTGAGAGAAGAAAGCGTGTGTGTGCGAGAGTGTGTGTGTGTGARAGCGTAAAAATGAAATAGAGAGAGAAAATGAAAACGAAAGAAAAAGAGAGACAGCAGACGATATGGGGAAATAAATAAAAATAAATAAATAATAATTAAAGATAACAAGAAAAAAAAAAGAAAATAAAAGTGAAATAAGAGAGAATAAGAAAAGAGGAAAAGAAAAAAAATGAAAAAAATTAAATATAAACCAAAGAGAGAAGACGTCGACCCGTCATAATAGATTCAAGCACAATAAGGACTAGTAGGGCCAGGCACAATAAAATTCGGCCGTCACGTTGTAGGCAGCGATCTGTTAGAGTGACAAGTCATATTAAGTATCTATATATAGCGAGACTATTAAATAAACACATATTGTCTATTGTCCGACGAGTGTATTCATTGTTGACGCTAAACTCGTTCTCCTATCCGAACCTTTTTCTGGTAAAATCAGATGGTCAAATAAAACAAAAAGTTCATCTATAAATTATCATTATTATTTTATTTATTCGTCAAAATCCCAACCAAAAATTATGACAGTGTTGACTTTAAATAATTTGGAAAAATTTCTATTATAATAAAAACATTACAATTATTTATTTATTTATATATATTATTGAATAAATCATAAAATAAATTATTATCTTTTCTTTTTTTTTCAACTCAGCACAATGTTGTAATTGTTGGTATAATTTTAAACCCTTTATTTCAATCCTATTTTTTTTTTTTGGATAAGAAATATTTGAAAGATTTGTACGAAGATCTCTATGAAGTTAGACGTAAAATAGTATTCATATCGAGTGTAGTACGCGTGTAGTTTAATGTTAATATTTTCATAATAATTTTTCGATCGATTATGGTCATTAGGATTGTTATATTTAAGTATAATATAAAATGATGGATGATCAGTTTAATGTATTTTATACGGGTTCTGTTCAAAGTGGTATATATCATAAAAATAAAGAGTTTTATTTTATAATGATTGATTAATTAGAGAGGTTAATTATATTTATATTTAAATTTATGTTTAAAGATTCTAAAGAAAGATCAGTCATAGATAACAATAACATAGTTCTAAAGATAGAAAATCACACGAGAATTTATGCATCTATGTGTCCTGATGAGATTCTTGACGATTATGACAATTATGAAATAAGAAAATATTTGACAACTCTAATGCTCGGTGATATATCAGGTAGACAAATACAAATTAGTTAACAATTTATGATTTTGCTAACGTAAATAAACTTGATTACGTTTTCGTGTAGGATTTACTGATTTTGCTGAAAAATATACTAGAACAGGTAAAGGTGGTGCATCGAAATTAACAGAGATATTGAACAGTTACATCGGTGCAATGGTTCAAGAAATTTTATCGCATAACGGTGATTTATTAAAATTTTCTGGTGATGCATTTATCGTTATGTGGAAACTTAAAAAGAATGCTAACATGCGTGATTTAGCAACTATGGCAATTCAAACAGCATGCATTATACAGAAACATTTTGGGGCTTATGAAACTGACGTTGGTATCACTCTAAAAGGTTTCAATATTCAATTTTTTATTTCTACAAACAATAAGTCATATCTTTTCTTAAAATTAGCGTTTTTAAAATTTGATGATATTGTTAATATATTTTTAAACAGTTAAACTAGCAATAGCTTCTGGTAAAACATATTTCACGTGTATCGGTGATCCTAAAAAAATGTCGCATTACATAATTATTGGTAAACCTGTTTGGGAAGTTAAAAATGCTGAACGACTCTGCAAGTATATAACAAATAACACTAATTCACAAATGGTCCGATAATTATGACAATGATATACTATATTTTTCAACTTTAATCCACTGTCATAATTATTGATATAAATGATTATCAGAATCGAATAAATATTAATTTAAAATATTTATTTAGAGGTGGTGACATTTTAGTAGCACTCAGCGCCTGGCAATGGGTAAATCCAATCGAATACATTTATGAAACACTTCCGGATGGTTTGCATACACTTATTATAGCTTGTTCTACAATGTGGTATACTTTGAAAGGCACTTATACGTATGACGATGGTAAAATTATTACCAAGCAATCCCTTACATTTTATGTATACAAATAATTAAAAAAAAATAAATAAATAAACTTGGAACTCGAAACTTCACAGATATTAACGAAAAAGAAACGTCTTCTCAGGAATCATCAACCGTGTTTATAGAAAAATTGGTAACGAATAGTACAACAGTGTTAATGAATCTTTCAGGCTCTTTAATGTACTCTAAAAATATGGAAATAATTGACTTTAGTTGTTAGTAAAATAATTATACCTAACACACGTTATTAATATCAAATTCGTAATAAGGATGAATGATTTATTATTTTGTTTTCAGTACGACCAAAAATAATAAAAGTATCGAAAGCACAATTGAAGGATGCTTTGAGAAGTTACATGTTAAAACCGGTAATACGTTCAGTTGAAATGGACGAACCGTTAGAATATTTAACAGAAATGAGACAAGTTGTTATAGTATTTGTTAATGCGGTTACTAGTGAAATGAAAAAAAGACAATTTATCAAATTGGTCGACGCAGCTTATAAACTAGTTTGCAGGTATTCCTTTTACAGAATCCTCAATTATTTGTAATTTATTATTTCAATAAAAATTATAGATTGATTTTTTGATAATACGATGATATATGATGTAGGATAGTTGATAGGATGCAAGGATGTGTCAACAAAACGTCGCTCTTTGATAAGGATCTGACATTTCTTTGTATTTTTGGTTTACGAGGTGAAAAACATGAACTTGAATCACAAATAGGTTTAAAATGTGCATACAGATTACGAATAGGTCTGAAAGAGTTAGCATGCATTACTAGCGTTACCGTTGGCGTTACAACTGGGATGACATATTGTGGGGTTGTTGGTCATATTTTGAGAAGAGAGTACACGGTTATTGGAATGACAGTAAATAAGGCAGCACGACTTATGATGGGTTACAATAACAAGGTTAAATTTCTAGAACTAGTTCTAAATAAATTAGACATTTGTAAAAACGTTGATTTAAGGGTAACTCGAAAACTCGGTTTCGAATCAATCCGATAACTCAACATTTTCACGAATCCTACAACATTAATATCCAATTTCCTGTTTACACAATTTTTATTATATTCGATTAAAAATAAATTGGATAGGTTATCTGTGATAGAGAAAGTTTTCTTCATTCACGATTAGAAGTTAGCCATTTCAAATTACAAGAACCGAAATATTTTAAAGGAATAACCGATGTTGGTCCAGTCTACGAGTTTGAAGAACAAGTCAGGTAAAATTAAACATATTCAATTTTTATTTAACATTTAGTTTCATTTAGTTAAATAAATAATCGATTTTAGATATAAAGTATCGGAAATGGTTTGGAATAAATATCCTTTGCTAGGTAGGGATAATGAAATGAATTTTTTTCGACACTTGTTAGCCAATTTGGTGGAGTATCTTCACTTTGGAAATGATTCACCTAATAAACCACAGTATAATACGTTAATTATAAGGTTTGTGTTATAAAATAAAAACTCACACTTTAAAAAATTGATGTTATAATAGATTATAATTATTTGATTACAGAGGAGAGCCTAGAATAGGAAAAACAAGATTGTTAGACGAAATGGTATTGAACATACCAAGTGGTATTCCATTGAATTACATTTCCCTTGTTTCAACAGATATACAGGTTGACCATACAATTTTCTTTCCCTTTTTGATAATATATTTGAAAATAAAAAAAGGTATAAAAATAAGGGAACATCTTTTCAGAACAGAATCCGTACACCTTAGTTCATCTAATATTTTCCTTACCATTAAAATTCTCATTAACGTCAACGCCAAAGGATCGAGAAGAAAAATTAATTCGTTTATTAGGCAACGTACGTTATCCTGAATACCTCTGTGCTTTGAATCAAGTCTTCAACGTTTCTTTCCCAATGACCAAACAATACAGATCATTTATGGAATTAGAAAAACAAAAAATACTTGAACAACTCTTGATAAACTTAACGAAAAAATGTTTTCCCAAATTTTGGGTCATTATCATTGATGATTTTGAATACGCCGATAAAGAGTCCTTGAACTTTTTTGATATTTTTGTTAAAACCAATATGTTTTTGTTCATCATTAGCGTTGGTGGAAAAGTTGGTGCCGAATATAGGCATCATACATTACTGGAAAGAGCATATGTATGTTAAATGTTGTTAACAATTAAATATCATTTAATTTATAAATGAAAATTTGACAATTTACATTTGGTATTTTTTTTTTGTTTGATTACAAAATGATAGGTCATGGAACTCCAAGGTATCGACAAATGGTATCACATTGGTATTGTTTGTCAAGTACTCAATGTAATTGGCATATCTCCAGAACTGGAGAAGTAAGTTAATTATTTTAATTAAATTATCAAAAATATTAAATTTTATATGAATGAAAATTATTTGATAAATTTAGATTAATTCAAAATCGAAGTTTAGGAAATCCAGGTTGGATAGAAAGTTATTTGATGACCCTAATGCAAAGTGGTAATTTAGCAATCATAACAGTTACCAGAAGAGAAGCTGAAACTATGGGATATGTTTTACCCAATGTAAAAATGTTAAAAAGGTGAAATACTATTTTATAAAAATATTGCTAAAAATTAATAGACTTTAATTTCTTTTTATTATGAACATACAACACAGACATACTTTGAATAATATATTTAAAAATACTGGTCCTGTTCGAGAAGATAGGTGGGAAATGTACGAAACGAGTTATACGGTTAGCATATTTTATTTATTTTTTTTAATAAATATTCTTAATTATCACGTTAATTTTATTTAATTATTTATCTTTAGAGTAACGTAAATCTATCTAGTAATGAAATACTTCATCAATCTGATACTGATTTGTCTAAACACGAAGAGATAAGTGTAGCTTTTTCGAAAACACTAGACTCTTTCTCGATCAAAAATACAAATATTGACATGACAATGGACGGTATAAAATAAATTTTATTTTTGTAGACATTTCTTGGGTTATTTTATACATACTGATTAATAACTAAGATTTATTTTCAGTTATAATTTTAAAATTATTCGATTCTTTAACACCTCTTGATCAATTTTTACTTAAATGTGCTTCTGTACTTGGTATATTTGTTAATCGAAAAATGTTGGAAAGTATAACTGAAATATCCAAAAAAGACACGGCAGTAGGTAAGAACAAATTATTGTATAAATTTAACAGTCAAATGTATATTTATTTAATTGATTTTTTTGATATTAGCGATTCGTAAACTTTTTGAAATTCGAATTTTCGAATGTGGAATGGGAGATTTTAGTAAAAACGTTGGCCCTATTATTTACTACAGAAATATACGTAATCATGTTGGTGATATTGGTGTTAAATGTAGGTGTATTAACCTCGTAATTCCAGGTATTCTTTTTTTCTTATATTTCACAATTTTTTTTTGTTTTTATTTTTCATTTAAATTTAGAATTGTCGGATTCTAATTGTAATTTAGAATTGTAATTTAGAAGAATTGTCGAATATGCCAAAATATGCATCATGCGGTCTTATGCGTTTCAAGATGGCGTTATTTCGAGACACCACATATGGGTAAACAATATGTTTTTAAGAAATCAAACTATTTAGAATTAAAAACTGTAGAAAAAAAATAATTTTCATCGAAGATTACTCACGGAGAATCAAAAAATCGAGTTGCACAACAAAGCACTAAAATTTCTACAACACAATACCAGACGTTGCGAGGCTTGTGGCAAAGGACATTTCACCAATTTATTAGATATAAACATTTTTAGCGAAGTTGAAGGAGTACCAATACATTGGGAATATCCATTGAATTTAAAACGACAACTCCATAACGTTAATTCTCGGATATTACCCAGAATAAAAAGTAATGCAATCAAATAAAATTAATGTGATAATAAAACCAATACATAATCAATGATTAAATATTTTTAGGCGTTTTATCTAATAAGAATAGTTTATCTTATCTAAATGTTTTCAAGAAACCAGAAAGAAAACCGGCACGTACTTTTTCCAATCTTGATTTTACTAATTGTCAATGTAATCTGATATTATTAACAGTTTACACGCAAATGGTTGAACATTGTTATGGAATCGGTAAATTAAAACTAAGAATAAACAATAATAATTAATGAACAAATTGAAATGAATCGTTGTTGATTTTTTTTTATTTTAGGTAAGAATGATAAAACTTTAATCGCCATATTGGGATACGCTGAGATTTGTATAGAAAATCAAAATATTCCTCAAGCAAGGAAATTGTTGGACGAAGCTGATAAGATACTTCAACAGGTAGAAATTTTTTCGTCATATACCAGAATATTAAGAAACAAAATATATAGAAGAAATGTGATTTCCTGTTCAGATGTTCGACCCAAACAAAAATGAAGTGATTAGATTCCTTTACCTCACAGCAAAGATTCAAACTTTGCAAGGTAAATGTTACTTCAATTATGGCCATACTTCTGAAGCTGAAAAAAGCTTAAACAAAGCTATGAAAACATTAGGCTACAATTTTCCACGTATGAATATAACAACTCATTTAAAAACAGCGTTCCAATTGAAGAAACTGAAATTATTATTATTCTGTCCAAGAAAACGAAAACGTAATATCGAGGATGACGATGACGTCAGGAAATACGCTAATCAGTTGGCATACTGTTTGGCTCAAATGTTTCAAGTTTACAAGGTAAAAAAATTAAAAAAAATATATTATGAATGCATGCAAAGTTAATCAAAGTTAACCCTTTGAACTCGTATATCACGTTAAGGTAACATAATACTAATTTACTCTAAAACTCGTATGTGAAATTATTTTAATTCATTTACCTAAAAATAAGTACAAATTGACACGCAACAATATTGAAAATAAATCGAGTTCAACGAGTTGAAAATTAATTACTTTGTTTCAAAACATTTTAAACAGTAGTTAGAGATTTTTACTTTTAGAAATTTAAAAGAAAAATAATTATCTTACAAAAAGTTAATTAATTTTTAAAACAATCAAGGAAAATTTGATCCATCAACCTATATTTTCTAATTGCAATTTGATTAGGCTAAAGGTATGAAAAAACAGGCTAGATTAGCAGCAATATGGGCACTGAACACGGCACGACCCAACAACGATTTTTTCATACTTTCCACGTGTTACACCAACATGCTAATTACTGCTCACGTTTATCGCATAAAGTACATACACACACATGAACTCAAATAACAAAAATCTTTAACAAAATTTTCTAAAAATAAAAATATACAAATAATTATTTAGGAACATAATTATATCTTTGGAGAAGGAGAGCATTGATTTATGTAACGAAGAAACGAGAATAATCGAGTACCAACATCTTAAAGTCATAGTTGAACTTTATGCAGGTATTTTTTTTTCACGTTGGATCAGAGGACAAATTAAAAAAGCTCTGGATATTGGCTTTATTGTCATGAAATTAGCAAAAAGCATTGATTTAACTTATATTCAGTGCATAGTTTTACCACAACTCGTTCATCTATTAATGATTTCTTGCCGACATTCCGAAGTGGTTTCAATATTACGAGACTTAGGTGATTGTTATCAGTTATGACATTAATTTTCTCTAATTTCATTTTTTTCTATCGAAAATTATATTACTTTAAGTTTATAGAATTTATATCGAAAAACAACATAGACAAATCCGGTCGTACGTGGTATTACGCAATGTGCGCAGATGTACAATTGGATGTAGGATTTACGATTCTTTCTTATGAAAATTGCAAAAAATATTACTTAAAAGAAGGTGAAAGCATGTTTAGTTTACGAAATCCAGAAGCTGAAAGACGATATTTTACATCTATGTGGTTATGGTATAAATATTTCATTTCATATGCAATACATTGATTTTATTTATGAATAATTTGATTTTAAATTGTTTAATAATTTTATTTAGGTGTGTTAGAAACCAAGAATGGGAAGCATCTAACATATGGATGAAAACAAATTTTAAAATAAACACAAGTGATGAAGACATAGTTGCAGCTACTATAACAGATTTAAAAAAACTCGAAGGGTTACTTATTTCTTACGGTTTGTTCTTAGTTTTTTAGTTGATTTAGACGAAAAGAATAAAAAAGAAAAGTTATGTTTTTATATCTATTTAGTTTATTATGTTAACAAACGTGACGTCAAAGCAATACATATTATGGCGGATATCAAAGTTTCTTTTAAAAATGTTAAAAAGATGATAAGCATCGTGAAAATTGCTATACCAAGGTAATAAAAAAAAAAAATAAAAAAAGATTGAAAGATATCTGCATAATGGTCACAAATTAATTTTAATAAATTAATACTCACATTAATGTTTCTTCAATCTTATTCAGATACGTATTTATAAAAGCTTACTATCACATGGTCCGAGGTCACAAAAGAAAAGCTATAAAAATTCTGCAAAAGACAAAAAAGATATCTAACAAAATGGAAAATAAAATGATTTATAAATGGGCAATGCACTGTAAACAAGTTAGTCTGATCTTTTTTACACCTAATTCAATAAACTATTAGAAATGATTAAGTTGATTTTTTGTGAATTTTTTATTTAGGCCTGGGAAGGAAAAATGTCTTCGATACAACAAGATTTATGGCAATTACAGTCAACGATTTTTTCATCTTCTACTTGGGAGGAAATTAATACAAATAATTCTGAAATCATTTTTTATACTTTGCCAATACCAAACTATGTGCGTTAAATCTTACATTTTCTTTTATTAACATAAGATCATTTAATGAAATATATTTTACTATAAAAAATAATTAAAACTAATATCTATGGTATGTATTATTATATTATTTATATGAATTTAAAAATCTTCAAATACTACAAAATTTTTAAACAGAATAGATTCCTATTTTACCAATCATTTGTAAAATATATTCAGGTCTCATCTATCGTCGATAAAATAGAGATTCTATTATATCACAATTTCCCAAATACAATTTTAAACAGCATTTTTAAAGATGATCTTCATCAAATAAAATAACTTTTATTAAAATTATTTATAGTATCATTTTAAAAACAAATACCCACACAATATATTTTTATTTACCATCCATTAAAAATTGTATATATTTATTTATAACTTTAAATGTGCATATGTTGTATGTTTCATCGCAAATAAAATAAAAACAAATGACTAACTCGTTTGATACACAGAAAATTTCACTAAATTCAACATGGCTTGGAACAAAATTATTTAAAATATAAAAAAAAATAAATATCTCTTTTGACAACTAAATTTTAATTTATCAAATACCTACACTTTATTACCACCAATATGTCGTAAGCATAGAATATTATACTTTATATTAAAATGCATTTGGATGGGATTTAAACTATGATTATTATAATTCTTATTATTAGGTATATTCCTTGCTACCTTTCAAACTGCTATCCAAATTGCAAACCAATATGTCCCACACCCTGTATACGACCCTGCTATACATGTCCTATAAGGGTAAGATTTTTTCATTCAATATAAATATTAAACTAAAATTGACCTGGTATCCATCATTCTTCTTAGAATATTGTAATTATACTTGTAAAATATGCAGGTTTGTTCACCACCACCTTGCTCTGCACCAGTATTATGTAGTCCACCTATGATATCAAGCTTTTCTTGCAGTCCTTGCAATCCTTGTGTACCAAAATGCTACAGAATTACATGCTATCCACCTTGCAGTACTTAAAATTACTTTTTTCCAAATAGAAATTTATTTCTTTTAAAACTTTATTTGAATATAATTGATATATTTACTTCTTATTTCAGCTGTCAGAGTGTACAGATGTTAATACAATTTTTTCAGAAGAAATAGAAGTTTAACTTAATGCACTTGCACATAAAACATATTTGAAACTTTGAAAAAGCATTAGTTACCTATAAACAAAATACTGTATTCCATATAATCAATTGTAACTAACATTAACAATGGATAATAAGAAGAACAACAAAATTATTATTTGTTACTCTTATACATCGGAATAAAAATTGAAAAACATGAATATATTTGATTATAATACAATTTATTGCAATAAATAATCATCTTAACGTAACACAATTTGACTACCAAGGACGATACTTTGCTTGCGTAGCATGCGTTAAGATCCAAGTCTTATAATCTCTCTTTTTCATTTGTACTTGTTTATGCCTAGGTGATTTTCTACACATTACAAACATTCTTTCACGTCTTGCGACAAAATAGCAATGTTCACAACGAAGCTGCAGTCGTCCTTTTCTTTTTAAACCTGATACTAAATTAATGCTTGGTAAGACAGGTTGCGAAAGTAATGATTTATTGTTATTTGCCAGTGTATGTGGTATCAAATTGAAATTTTCTCTTAAGCACAGACAATGCATATTCCTTACAATTACGCCTGGATTGCTTCTTGACAATAAGTTTGAAAGTCTTGGTATGATTGAGTTTACTGTCTGACAAATTGTTCCAAATCTTAATAATGAAAAGGAGTTCATGTTTCTGTAATCTAATATAATTAAAAAAATTAGGTCGTAACTATTACTATAAATATAAAGATAATACTAACCTAACTTATAGTACTGTAAGGAGTAAAGAAAATAATTTTTCTTACCTAACTTTAAAGGATTTGTTTAAATTTAATTCTTTAGAAATACATAGACACACATTTGTGAAATGAATATAAAACAATTTTATTGTAATAGAAATAACAGCACTACACAAATCAATGAATACAATGATTTAACAAACCCTAAGTACCTCGAAATCGAAATTCTATATACGTTACTGTATCGTTTCTTCTTAAAGTTAAACAAATATTAAAAATAATCATCAATTAAAAATTTACAATAAGGAATTTTAATGGAACAAAAAAATTGTATATTTTTAAAAATATATATGAGAATTATATGCGTGTATAATAAACATATCATAAATATATATATTTGTTATAATAAAAATATTGAACGAAACTAATTTGACTGACGTGGTTATTATGAAGAGAAGAACGTGAAAAAAGTAGTCCCATGTATCTCAAAGAATTATTTCTACGAATTACTCTGATTCTTACCTTCTTCTTTTTTAATATATATATTAATTTCTTCTGATCTTATAAAATTGTTTATCTATTATTTTCAAATGTTATAAAAACTATCTTCAATTTATATAAACAAACGTAAATTACGCATATACAACGTCAGACATTTCGAGGAAGTGCGTTGTCGTACTTCGACGTAACGATTAAAATTTATTTTTGACCAAAAGTCGATAGAACAAATTACCTTAAATTCTCGAACAATTTTTAGATGTAGACAATTAACGGACGTTCATTTATTTATTGATAACAATATAAAATATAATATTTAAATGTTCAATGGAATTTTTCCAAACAAAGTACGCACTATTTATTTTACTGCTCCATGTGCAGTCCCATGCTTCTGTACGAACACAACGATTTTTGACCAATAGAAACGTTTTACGACATTGCCAAATTGTTCCTTCAAAACATATCGAAAACCTTTACGAGTAGTACAGTAATACACGAAATTCCAAAAAATGTTGAATGAAGGATCTTATTTTATTAACACAATATTTAATTTAATTTTATTGGGAACGTATTGATAAGGTTATTATTTATTTAACTGGAATATAAGCTATAAAAACTAGCGATTCGACTTGCATTACGATTATCTCTTAAATTTTTTTTCAATCGTTTTTTATTCATTTAACTTTTTATACGAATTAATTAAAAACATTATTAAACATTTCTATTATTTACTCAAACGTATTCAATCATCGAATATAAAAAAAATCACTAAAATCGAAGAATACATAAAATCTTTACAATTCAGAATTAATGGAGGGACTACTTGTCGTCGTTACGTAAATCATTAAATTTCAATTTCTTCCCATACTATTTTAATACAAATTTATATCATCGTACAACAATGATAAAATAAAGTTAATAAAAATAATATTGAAGGTAGTCTTAAATAAATAATAAAGAATGAAAAAAATAAGATTATATTGGGGGAAAAAGGCGCCTTTCGTGATGCCTTCGGTGTGTAGTTTGTAAGAGAGATGGCAACGTTGTATACGGTAAGACAGACGATTCGACCAATGAGATTTGAGAACAGGGTTCTAGGCGCGCAAGGTCGACTACGCAAAAGTCATTTGCTACGCGTTAGCCCAACACGTGCGAGATAGAATTATTGTTCGCGCAGTGACCGTTGTGCGCGCGGCATCCTCCCATTTGTAGTGTGGCATTACTCCGCTCTGCTCTCGTCGACCACGCACAACTTCATCGTTGGTGACACCGTGCAGATCTATCTTATTTGAGAATCCGTTGATATCAAACCGATCGCCATGGCGGAAGAGTATCTTTACGGTAAATATCGAAACTCGAGTAAACGTGATTATACTTGATAGTTTATTTCGAAACATTTTCGGTTACTTAACGAATGAACATTTATCTATTAAAACGAGACGCCGGCTTCCGAACACTTTCGGCCATTGTGACCAGATACACTATTGTCCCCCCTAAACTACGGATAAAATACCGCGCGTTTATTAATCGTTATTTATTATATATCTTTAATATATTATCATATTAATATCATTAAAATAATGTGCGAGGTTATCGGAATAATTTGGAGCATAAGAAATTCGTGAACATCGTGTACTATCGTGATTTTTGTGTTCTTTAGGAATCGTTCTCGAAGGAGCTAACTCATCCGAAGTTTGGGATCCTGAACACAAGAATGATGATGCAGACGGCACTAATCAACACGACTATGGTGCTGATCAGAAGCTTATTATTAAAATGGTAAGTTTTATGATGCGGATAAAATAAGCCAATATGCTTTCTCTCTCCTCTTTCTCTTTCTTTCTCTCTCTCTCCCTCTCTTTCTCTCTCCCCATCTACTTACTAATCTATCTCTCTCGCTCACTCATATATATGTATAATGTGTATGCGTACCTTACGTATATAAATATATTAATACAATTTTACACTTCGATTTTTTCATTTTTTGTCGATTATATTACATATTACATTTTTCTAACTTATTTTTTCTTTACTCAAGAATCATTAATTCTAACAATAAATAGACCCATCAGCAAACCTTCTTTTTGTTTCTCGTAATACTCTTTCAAATACATTGCGTGATACATGTGTTTATTATTTTTATTCTTTTCCTATAATTACGTACAATTTTTACTTAAAAAATTGTGTTTACCTTCTTTTCACGTTTCTCGAATCTTCTAGGAAAAGTAAAAAAAAAAAAAATAGTACGATGCTAATATATTCGATGTCTTTCATACCGAACCTTTTTTTGCTTTCTTTTTTCTTTCTGTTTGCAAGCGCACAAGGCGCCTCCTGCAATGAATTTTACGCGCGAATTTTCGATACATTAATAAAATAAAATAGGTGATTCAGAAAAATAAAGGGAAACATTAGAATTAACTTCTTTTTACAGATGCAATATGTGCTTCCTTTCCGATGATAGTACACAATTCTTCGATATAATTGTTCTACACATTTATTTCGAGATATTTCCATTCCTTTATTGATACTTAGAATATTTTAGTCTGTATGATTCATTCAGTTTGTTTACGAACGATCGAATTTCGTTTTAATTCACGGAAAGCAAAGACTCTCTCCATGAGAGTTCCTTTCTTTCGCGGTTAAAACCGCAATGCGTGCCTATGATCGAACATAACCTGCAAAGTTCCGGTGTTTCATCATTTATTTTGTCTTATCTCTAGATAAACATAATATTCTTATTACTTAACTTCGAAATGATTTGAACTTTCTCAATTTACTATATACAATGATTAATTTTGTGTAGTTATTTTTTTATAACGAATCTGATCATGCAAATGTTTAATGCTTGGCGCCATTTTTCCTCACAATGGCTTCGCCCTTCCCCCACTTCAGCCCGGCAGGATCCTATTATACCGAAAGGGAGATTATAACGGAAATTTCAGTCAATGCAGGTAGAAATAGGGTTTAGAAATGGGGTAGAAAAAAAGATGCATTTGGCCGAACTCAATGAAAAATACCATGAATTCTCGGCAGATGTTTCTCATTTTTTTCTACTTGAAAAAAAAAAATTGGTTCTTTTCAGCAAGCAAATGTTTAATGCTTATATATACATAAATTATTATTATTATTTTTAATTATTTATTTTTTTTATTTATATTAAATATTATATAACATTTGCTTTGATATTTTCTAGGCTCTTTTAGGGCCAGAGGCGAAACCTGGTGAACTTAACGTATTACAAGTAGAGGCAATGGGCCTCAAAGGCACTATTAAAACACCAATTGCTCTTCTTGAGATGGGCAAGACAGCTCAAATTATACTTGATCTTAGTTTTCCTGACCCACCGGTAACGTTTACCTTGATCAAGGGTAGCGGGCCAGTTCACATAGTTGGACACAACCTCCTTGGTAAGAAATATGCAAATTATTGTATTATTTTATACTACGAAACGTCATTAAGAAGTGCGACAATTACAGTTTAGACGCCTTCTATTCATAAAAGTATCTCATTTATTTACCATTTAGTTTCGATACTTCTTTTACAAGTTTTTCTTTCAATAATTTAATTTATTTAAAATTATATTTTGTTTGTAGGTACGCATATGGAGGAATTCGTCGACGATATGGACGAGGAGTTGGAAGACGAGAATATTGACGATGATGAGGATGAAAAAGTAAGGATAAAGTAATATTAATTTTATACATTAGATAAAAGATGCATGTAGAAGAGAAAAAAATTCGTCAGGAAACTTGGTCTATGTGGAAAAGTTATTTTCTTTTTTTCTAAATCTTTCGTAGTAAGATTTCTATATTTTATTAGATGAAAATTTAGATGATGAAGAAAAATTAAAAATGGTTCAAAAAAATACCTAACGTACATAACAAGTTATATGGATTAATGTTATCCATTATGAGCATTTTGCACTTATTTCTGTTACAAATCGTATAATTATTCTGGTTTTTTATGTAGCAATGTGACCAAAAAACAAAACAGGTAATGTGTTGTAATATTATTAAGTAAATTCATTAGGAATGCAATTTCAGGCACCTCAAAAGAAACGAAAACATTCTGCAGAGGGTAGAAAAAATGGCACCAAACGTGCCAAGATGGATGAAGCAGTAGACAAGTAAAATAATAAAGTAATAATAATAATCATTCGAATAATAATAATACTAATAATAAAAATAATAATAATAATCATCATTCAAATAATAATATAAAAAGAAAATTTTAAAAGGGTGAAATGTTTTTAACTCTTTATATTAATAGAATTTTCATTTAAAAGTATATTTTGATTTTGAAAATGTATTACTTTTGAAAAAAGTTTAAAAAACTTAAGGAAGAAACGAAGATTGCTTACGAAATTACAAAATTTTAATGTACATTTTGCACTTGTGTTTTTCATTCCTATATATATGTTGTTTTATTTTTTTGTACAATAAACCAACCTATTTTAAAACAATTGCTTTTATTCACTCTTCATGTATCCTTATTTACATTTATGTCAAATGACAAATGAAATTTGGTTTCAATTAACATTTTTGCAGGTGTGGAAAACATTCGTCAATTGAAACAAGAACAGAAAGGACATGAAATAAGTGCTGAATGCTCATAAAATATAAATCAGTGATGTTTGAAAGTATTTCTGATTTCAAAGTTGTTATAATTCACTATTGATTATTTTTTTGTAATGTCTCTTTACCATTAGAGTTATTTAATTTGGATTATCAATCCTTGCAATTGATAAAAAGGTTTTGAAAACATTCAATCAGATAAACTTAGATATTTGTTTCTTTACAATATAGGACCCGGACGACGAGGAAGAAGAAGACGATGAACCGAAAAAAAAAAATGCTAAATTATCAACTGCAGCCAAATACAAAAATCAAGCTAATAAGAACAAGAAAAAATAAAGCACGAGTCTTTACATAATTGGGGAAAAACAAAAAAAAAAATAAAAAAAAAAGAATACCAACACAGAAAACTCTTAAGTTAGGCTATTAATGCGTAAGTCCATCATCAATTATCATCATCCGCATTTCTGCGAAATCTAGTATCGTTTCATCAAATTATCAGACGACACGTGTTGCGTTCCACGTTTCTAAAACACAACTGGACCAATAAAGTACAATAAGATAACAGTATATCATGTATTTCACAGAAAAAATGGTATCACGTTTTACTACTAGTCCACTTGTAATGAGCTATAACACGGTTTTAATTTAACAACATAGTATTACTACTTAAGTAATAAATTTTCTTTAATTTTTATTTCTTTTTTCCCCCCTCTTTTGATTTTATGTATAAATTTTTAAAATTAAACATTGTGCTTTTTCTTTCCTTTTTTTATTATATATATAAGAATTCTCATGTTTTTTTTATTTGTTTCGATAACAAATATATCTTCGTAGTTTCTCTACTTGCCTTAAAGAAGAAACATCCCTTGCGCTTGATTGTACTGTGTATGTGTGCGATATATAGAAGAAAAAAAAATATCTATTGTTGATCAGAAATTATTTTTTTGACAAAATTTTATGAAATTGAAACTGCTAAGGGATATTAGATCTTTTGAGACAGGTAGTCCGAAGCCAAAAATCCTTTTTACGTGTAATCTCGTTTCTAATAATGTTAAAGTTACATAGGATGCGTTTATAATGTTCTTTCCTTATTCGATACATACGAACTAAATGTTTAACAAAAATTGTTATTTGAATCCGGAAGATTTAATGACGATGAGCTTTGTACGATATCATAGGGAGAAAGAAAGAAAGATAGAAAGAAAGGAAGAAAGAAAGAAAGAGAGAGAGAGAATGATTTTTTAAAAATAAATTATGTGCGGTCATTCTTGGCCCAGTTGTTGTTCGTTAAAATTGTGGAAAGCATAGACGGCGAACTTCTTGCAGTAAGAGAAAAAAAAAATAAGAGTAAGAGAGAGAGCGAGAGACGCATTTGTATTTCCTTTCTGTCTTCTCTGATACCGTGTTCACACATCAAATACACCACTTCCAACGATGTAAAAGAAAAAAACATAAACAAACAAAAATATACATACTGTCTTATATTGTAGCCATGTAATACAATTCAGAAAAAAAATAGTATATCTCTTTTAAGAAATTGCAAAAGCTACTCTATCCAGCCACAGTGTAATTTATTATTTCCGTGTGTACAAGATGGGGAGGGATATAGTAGAGATACAGGGGCGAAGAAGCAAGAGGAAGAAAGGAGAAAGGGTAATAGTCAAGAAATAAAAAAAGTAACCCTTATACCGCAGTCATTAATAATTGTTAAGGAAGATAAAGAGAAAAATAACATCAGAATTAAAAAAAAAAGAATTCAAGGAAAAAGCATATTCACGCGTCACCTCGATATTCATTCCATTTGATGAAAGATATAATAGAGGGAGAATTTACAGGTGTACTACACAGCATGGTGTGTATGTATGTGTATGATGCTCTTACATCAGTATCATCATATGCAAAAGTATATATGCGATGGGGTGTTTGAAACGCCCTTGCGATTGATAGTAGTCTGTACACCTATTTTGTACATATACGATACACAATAAAAAATTTCACAACTTTTAATCAGTATTGCACTGAGTAAAATTATTCATTCAAGCGTGTACTACCTCCCCAGGAAGAGATAGCATGTAACTTCATGATATTGTATAAGATGCTTTTTTATGAAATATTTTATAGAACATTTTGGCTTAGATTTTTAATTTAGAAGACGACAAAAATCGAATCTAACAAAACACGTCAGTTAGTCTTCTTTTTGCATTTTTTCTTTTTGTCATCGACTAAATAAATCATGTCATTAAACATGTGTTTTTCTATTTTTCTTTTTTTTTTAATTTACTATTATAAAAGCGTGTATGATTGAAAATAAATGAGTGGTTTCTGTAAAAAGCAGTGTATCACAGATGAAATAAAACATTTTTCTACAATAAATAAAGAAACCGTAAATTGTAATTTCTACATTTATTGTTCTCATGTATTTTTTTAATTTAATTGTAAATGTTTGTATTCACGTACACACAATGTATTTTTTCCTTCGAGCGTCAATTTTTTGTCTCTAATACTATGAGCATCAATTTGTAACCTTTTTTTTATAGATGTTTCAATTTATCATCCCTTTTTTATGTTAGCGCAATTGAAATGAATTTAGATCAATTGATTAATCAACATTCAAGATTCTTTTGTAATAACGAAAAAGAAAACATTGATAGAGAATTATTATTGTAGAAAATAGTTGTTTAAATTGACAGCTATTATATGCAGAGTACTCAATTAAATGGAATTTCTGTGTCTGATGTTACGGGCTCTCGAATATCTTCAGAAAATTCAGAATGTAGTGCTAATGTGAATGATTCCAAAGCACTTCGTAGGCAAGTGAGTTCAATTCTGTTGTCTTAATGAAATATTATGTATAATTTAACTTATATCAAAGTGTTTGGTAGTAGAATATTTTTGTTAGTTATACGTATCAAAGATTATAAAAGCGGTTAAAATAGCTTATAAATATTAAAAAACAATTAAAAGTTTTATTTATAAAAGGTAGAAGATTTAACAGAGACAATCGCTAATTTAAAAAACACCATTTACGTGAAAGATATTCAATTAGAGAACATGCGTAAAGACGGTGAAAGATCATCAGCAGAATTGAAGAAGCAACAGAGATGTAATAGAAATCTTAAACGTAAGGATATTATACATAGAAAATTTCTATATTTAATAATAAACTTACCACGATCGGTTTTTCGTTTTAAATGAAATATTTTTAATTTAATATTGTTGCATTTCTTCTTCATTTACTATAATTATAATTTTATTTGCTACATACTTCATGGAATTTTAATTAAAAATGCTATTTTATTATAATGTTATACAATTTTTGATATTATTATTTAATTTAGTATTAAAATTGATTATTTGTATTTAATTGTAAAAAATATTATTTTAATTAAACTTTGGTAATTTTTTTTTTGGGCTGGTTGTGGTACAAATTAACCAACTGTATGTTAATTAAAAGTAAAAGAGATATTGGAAAAATGGAAAAATGAATTGAATTTTATTTTAGAACAGTTGGACGATGAGAGATATTTTTATCAAAGAGAGAAAGATTACTTTTGCGAGGAAATGCAACGTTACAAAAACAAATTTATTGGAAATGGATCGAAATTACAAGAACAGAGATGGAAAGATTTGGAAGATGCGAGAGATTCGTTGAATGAGGAAAATAAACAACTTCGTGAAGAATTAGCTGAGAAAAGCGAGATTACGTACAATTTGTGTATTAAATTTTTACGTATGAAACATGCCAAAGATACTCTTAGACATAGATTCGATCAGTTGCATCGTGAACATTTAAGAATTATGGAAGAAATGATGGAAAAACTTGACGAAGCTAGAGAAGAGTTAAATGTTATCGTATCGGAAAAGTTTCAAGAACCATTGCCAATTAACAAGGCTAAATTTTTGCAAGTAAATCGTTTGTTTTCTTAACCCATTCGAGACGACGATTTTTTTCGAACACGGTCCTCAGGAGCGAAATTTTTTTTTCTTTATATTGTTCATTTTTAATAAAAAAACATGTTTACTATGGAAATCACCCAATTTGTAAGTGAATTCACATAAATAAGATCATTGCACACCGGGTGTGCAGTTCGCTCCTCGGAAAAAATCGAGGAGCGGATTGAAGACCATGTGTACAATGGTAAGTAAAATGAAAATACATCATTAAAAAATTTATTTATTTTTTTTTATTCACCGATAAAAATGGCCCAAAAGAAGAAAAGAAGAAAAGAAAAAAAACATCTGAAGCCTGCGCAGCCTGCGTATTCATAATTTCTTACATGTAAGAAAAATTCATTCATTCATAATTTCTTACATGTAAAAAAAAATTATGAATACGCAGGCTGCACAGGCTTAAGATAATAAGTTTTTTCTTTTCTTCAGATCATAAGTTTCATTTAGGCGGTATGAATAAAAAAATATACTATTGCTGTTGGTGATAAATTTGAAAAATGGAATTAGATATATGGGTTCCTGCATTGATATTTTCTATAAAAGGAAGATTTCGAAAATCTAAACAAAATGTTTTGTTTTTCTTTTGATCTGCATGAAAACCAATGCCAAATTTTGTTTCTCTATACTTTACAGATACTATTAATAAAAAAAATTCTGCTTTCGACGACTACTTTACTCAGAATAACTGATAATTGCTCATTATTATTATTGCACACACGGTGTGCAATCCGTCTCGAATGGGTTAACAAATTGTTGATTGGTTATTTTATGCAAAAAAGTATTACGTTTCAATGTTCAGTTGTATTTATAATTAGGTTGAATTATGTATTTTTGAAAAAGTTTTTACAATTTAATGATTTCAAATTGAATTAATTTAATTTGATAATTTTAATGAATTAATTAAACAAAATATTAAAAATGGGAATTTAATTATATTATATTTATTATTCTTATGCAAAAATATTCAATCAAACGTGAAAAATAATTAGTCAACAATCTTTTAAGATCGATTGAATAAATTAGAAAAACTTAGAGTAAATTTCAAAGAAATGATTTTTAGGTCATCCAAAGAAATACTCGATTGGTTTATGAAAATGCGACTTTGCGAGTACAGATTCAACATTTAACACAAAGTTTAAATAAATTAAAGAATTATACGGAGAAACCTAAAGGGATTAAAGTTGATGCTCGTATTATAGCAAAACTTGCAACTCAAAGTCGTAGAAGACAAGATTCCGATATTATAAGAAAAAGTTTTGCGACGTAAGCTTAATTACATTTTTGTTAAAAATTAATTTCCAATAATTAAATTTATTCATTTATATTATGCAAATGTTTTAGATCTTACGTTACACAACCAGTCAAAATATCTACCAGTAATTCGAGTACGAATAATAGTAAATCAATTGATGATAAATCGTTAAATCGAAAAGTAAATTCAAAGATTCGAATCAAATCTCATAATAAAAATAAATGTGTAACCGTAAAAGAAGAGTCTGGAGAATCAGATTCGATTAAATCTAAAATCGAAAGTACAGAAGAAAGTCGAAAAAATAATATTGATCAAAACGATCGCACTTCTCCGATTAGCACAAATAGTATAACAGAAAATTTGCATAAATATATTGAAGTACGTGATATGTGTACAAATACGTGACATAAGTATTTCAAATTACGTATTTGAGATGCTTTGTAAATCAATTATATGCAAATTAGTTACATGTTTATTAATTTTAAAGAAATATGTATGTAAATTAACTAAATTTCTATTAATGACATAAATATCGTTATTGTAAGAAATACGAAAGAACGAAAGAAAAATATGTGAAACAAACGTACAATGAAAATAATGAAAAAGTGTACGTTTATGAATATGATACATATTTATTTTTTAGTTGTAACAATATCGAAAAAAAAACGAACACAAAAGAATATTGAAAAGAATTCATAAAAGTATGGGATATGTTTGTATAAATGATTATTTTTATTATCTTTTTAAAATGCTTATACGATTTAGCGTAATAAAATAAAAAACTATATTCGAAGTACGAATTTCTTAATTTAGATTTGTTAATATTGTAATTTAAGAAGAAAAAATTTAATGTACGTACTTTCGAGTAAGAATGATTGATTTTTAAAATTATGTAGAAATATTTTTGATCCACTCTGTATTATCGTTCGTCGGTAATATGAATAATGTTTTTCTTTTACGATGACACTTTTATATAATGCCGAGATAAATACATAGTAACAGTGAGAGATGTTTGTTTTGCAGGTCACCTTTTGTACCGACGGATGATAACGTCGAGGATAAACTGATCTACGGTTAGTATACTTCGCGCCGTTGTTATTACTACGTCGATAAATACAGTGAAAATCGAGTCGAGTAAATGTTTCTTTCACATTTTATCAGGTAATTACTTTATTACTTTTTTTCTAAAAAATGAATATATATATGTTATATTTTATAAAAATTATATCACATTATCCGTGAATATTTTTCGATCGATTAATACAATACAAATGAATTTTATTCATATTTATTTTCGTATTCCAATTAAAACGTTAGCGTCCACTAATTATTTCATTCATCAAGATAATACAATTATTTAAATATTGTGTTGTTTGAAAAACTAGTTCTGATTTTTTAAAGAACATTTAAAAGAAGTAAATAAATATAAATATAATATAATATTAATATTATAATGATAAATATTTGAATTTATATTTATAAATCTAAATTAACTTTTTGAGTATTTCCAATACCAGTTCGATCATTCTTTGATTGATCGTGAAGGAATACGGGTTCATCGTCTTGTTTCTCGGTTAGTTAATTAATTATTGCAATTTACTGATTCTTCCTTGTATAAAAAGAAGACGAAGAAAATAAATGTAGTGTATAGTTTCATTTACAGTAGTTTCTAATGTTAGTATAGTATTGAAGTCCATAAAAGGTAAGAAGTACTCTACTGAGAAATCACTGTATCTTTGCCGTCATTTTTACGTCATTACGAAAGACAGCTGAGATTACGTTAAAAAGACGTTTTACTTGAGTAAGATAAATAGAAAGATATAGTCAATTTAATTTCATTTAATTTAATATAATATTAGCTGATGATTGAACTTACACAGTGAACTGTTTTAGAATATAATGAGATTGTTAATTAGATCAATATTTTTAAACATATTTTTGTTCAGTTTTTATAATCAAAAATAATTATATGTATTATGTTAATACTCAACTTTAATACAATCCTGAAATAATCCTATTCGCGATTGTGTTGTAATCCTAATGTAATCTTAAAAACAATCCTGTCTTAATTGAAAATATCGACAAATTATAGTACATTTTATAATAAACAAAATATGTATTTATATCGAATATTATTAATTTTTTTTTATAAAATACTGATTAATTAAGTAACAATTTGACGTAATAATATTATATAACAAAAAAAATGTACTACAATCAGATAAAATTTAAATAATATTACTTTGGAGAAAATGATATCCTTAAATAGGATTTATAATGAATAATTTTTGTGAAAGAGAAATTTGCTCTTCTTTTTTTCTTTTTCATTCTCTTTCTCTTTCTCTCTCTCTGTCATTCTTACACCGTGCCAAGCCGGTTCCAGACGAAGCCGGGTTTTAACGATCGGTCATTAAGTCGCGAGGAAAATTGAGACGTCCACCTCTCGGTGAGCTCATATCCAATTGAGTAGCGGCCTTAATACCCCTTATGTATTATCTGGCAAGAGAAGCACCTTGTTAAACGGATCTCGCCGTTTCGCATTCGCACTTGATGTTCTTTTTTCTTTTTTTTTTTTTTTNTTAACTAAAGTACTTCGTCGGTGTATGATAATTTTGTAACTTTTTCTTTCCCTTTCCCATTACCTCAACTTTCGGATAACCTAAGAAACATTACACAATTATGACAATAAATTATTATATACATTAGAACAAGTTTTTCAAAAAAAAAAAACAATTGTGTAAAAAAAAATTTCAATTCGATTATTACAAGAAAATTTATAAGTTCAAAATGATTAAGAATTCGGTTTCTGCAAATAATATTAAATTGGTCAATAGATTAACCCTTTGAGTGCTATAGACGCATATATGCGTTTGGTAAAAATTACTAACCTTATCGTTGAAAGCATATACGTTTTTTGTTAATATATTCATGTATAAAATAATTTAATATTTATATTAATCAATTAAATTATATTCAGAAACAAAAACTTCAATTATTAAATATAATTTATTATTAGAATCTGGTTAATAATAAATTATTCTTCCTACAAAACATTTTAGGTAAAAGTATTCAGCATTCAAAGGATTAATAGTGTTATTGTCATTTTTTTACTTTCAAAACATCATATTAACTTATTGGTTAGTTTAATCGAACAAGGGTAGATATATAATTGTAAGAAAACGGAAGGAATAGGAATAAGAAAAGAAAAACTTGAAAAGAAAAGCTTTTTTTCCTTTAGTTTAAATCTAACGATAAGCTAGGGGTACATGTATGTTGTTTGGTTGGTAAGTTAGCTTTAATAAGATTAGTTCTTTTTGTCCTTTGACATCCGTTTAAGGCCGTTTAACGTCCGTTCGCACGTCACGTGGCATATTATCGGTCCACTATCGGGGACCGAACCGTAATGGGCCTTTTGGAGCGGATCCTTGAGTATTAGCGCGGCTATTGGTTATCGACCATCGGACGTCATGCGCAGCGTGAAACCAGCATAAATATAGCGTTCTCTTTGACTCGAATGGGCCGGACAGAAAGAAAGAAAGAGAAAGAGAAAAAGACAATCTTGCTGCCGTTCCGCGTGCACACCTTATGTTACCATTATATGTATATACATATATATATATAT